CATGACAGGAAAAGGGAGGTTTCTGAGACGCATCTTGTACATTTCTTATACTTATAATTTTGTTGTCCTTTTGTAAGTAGCCTTAGCACAACGGGTCAAGGTCAGTTCATGAATACGGCGGTAAAGCCCTTATATTAAGAGAGTAAAGACACTCTCTTTCTCGCGCGCGTTTTTCTCCTCTATTCTCCCCGAATTTTCACCCTCTCCTGGCCAGCGTGGCCCCCACTTGCTCACTGTAGCCGCATTAGAATCGATGTGTGCGCTTGTTCGTTCAGCTCCTTGATGCATTATAGGAGGTTCTGAGCGAAAGTGGGATTCAGGTAGAACACAGTGCATGATGAAATAAGCGCTAAACATCACACACACCCAGAGAGGAGACAGACGAGCGCTTACGAACAACTGAAATTTTTATTTCGGAGTGAACACTAATAAATACATAACACGCATGTACATCATTCCCAACCTCCCCATGTCATCATCAATATCTTGATACACTAAAATAATCACTCCCATGATCGATGGCACACAACCGTGTCAAGACCTAAAAACAAGAAAACGTAAAAAATAAAAAGAAAATGCACTGGGTTATGTAGCATCTAAAAAAGCAAATTCCTCATCTTTAGGATACAATCATCAATAGGATACAATGATCTCGGTAACCAGCTTCCCTCAAGTGCTTGATCTGCGTGGAAACGCTCTCATTCATTGAGTGTACCCATGATTTCGTGAGGGTAGCTTTGATGCAAGAAGTTGCGATCCCATTCTTTACTATCTTCGAATGTACCGAATGATATCTCAGCAATGATTTTTTAGATCTAGGATAATACATCCAACACGAGTGAAAAGGAGACAACATAATTTTTAGGTCCACAAACGGAATGCATCCTTCCTTTGGCTCTTCAAAGGTAAACTGTAAACTACACCCGTTTTCCTTAAAAGTTCTCAATACCGTCACTAACGTGCTCATAGCTGGATCATTTTTTACCAAAAAATGGTGGTAATCTATGAATCAGAACAGCTTCAGATCCATATCATCTAGCTCTTTACCTACTGCTATGTCGAGTTTAATAAAAAAAAAACATTGCACAAGATCGGGGCGACACTAAACCCACTAAAGGGGGCCCCTTAGTCACACTTGGCGATGCACTGCAAGGAGTACACCTGCCAACGGAAATTTTCAGACACACGAATAATTGACAGGCACAAGAAGCGGACGACGAAGGAAATAATGGAAGCATATAGATTTAGGAAAGGAGGTGACAGTTGCGTCAGCCAAGCGTCTGTTCTACTAAAAGATGAGGAACTTGCTTGAGCCCATTTCGCCCACCTTTCCTTCCTTCGTGGTTTCGCCAAACGAGAGCGCGTGCGACACGTGCGGGACGCAGTCTGGAGCGGTTGCAGAGAACTTTGGTGCCGTCTCGTCAGTTTTGCGCACTAAAACGAGAAGCTCGCTGTGCGAAGATCCCTTTCCTGCGGAAGCGTCGGTGAGGTCTAGAGTATTGTTGTTTTATGGGCTGCCACAACAATGCAGACAACACCAAGAGACGTTCTCCCCGTGTAAAGCTGGATAAGTTCCCCCGAAAGTCCCAGCCGGCGAGCACACCCACGTTCGTGAAAGACCCAGCAAGCGTGACAAGAGAGCCGGAAAAAAAAACGAGGCGAACACTTCAATTTCACTTGCTGACGTTAAAGCTATTGCAAACGCAGACTCACCCCATGATAACATCACGGTTCAAAAAAAGAAAAAAAGCAAGAAAAGAAAAAACGGGGAGAGATTATAACTATACTGGATTTATCGATAATAAAAGACTGAAAACAAATGCTCCTTCTGACAAACAAATGCTCCTTCTGACTCCTGACGTAATTTACGAGCAAAAAAAGTATTATTATTGTTATTGTGAAGTAATTGTACATGTCCAGTAAATATTGTTCACTGTCAAACTGAAGCTAGTCAAATGAATGTAAAAGATACATAAAAATTCAGGAAAAAGAAAATATAACGAAAAAAAGTAGAAAGAGAAGAAAAAAAGAAGCAAAAAGAAAAAACTTAAAAACCAAAGATGCAAAAGAAAAAAAACACGAGAAACGAAAAAATACAAAACGGCTAGAACAGAAAAGGAAAAAATGAAAGAAAAAAAAAGAGAAAAAAAAACGAAACAAAAAATTGAGACAGGAAAAAGGAAAAAACTTGAAGAAATAAAAAAGCGAGAACAAAAAAGAAAACAAACAAACTTGAATAAACAATTGTGAAAACTACATACAAATCACTCACGAAGGGTCAAATTCTAATTATCGAGGACCGTCTGCAACAATTCAAAATTTTCTTCCTCAATATTAGAATCATGCAACTATAGCTCTGAAGTTTAAAAAAAAACTTTATTAACCACGAATATTGTAAGCAACTCGACGTACCGTCACATTTCAAATCTGCTAAATATGACTATATATAAACAATGAAACAAAAAGCCAAGAATAACTTCTACTCTACGTACCTACTCTGCATCTACTATTAAAAGAAAATTAATGAAATCAATATGCAAACCAACTCGACATCAAGGAATAGGGGTGAAGGGGGCAGTAATAAAAACTCTTTTACTGTTACAGAGCAATACAGTCATTTAGGAATAAGTTTAAATCAGCAGAAAACTTCTACTCGATCAACTGACAGGAAATCAAGATCTTCAAGACAGTCCCATTAAACTGCGCATCGTAGGATTCGTCTCTGAAAAACAACTCCGTCAAACTTGTTAACTGCAAAATCAACAATGTACATCAAACTAATAGCTTTTTTTTTTCGGCCGGTTTGACTGCGGATAGAGTCTGCTTCTCCTACACATCCTTCTGCCTCAAAACTTCACTTGGCTCTGCCCTGTTCACTTTTCTTTTCTAATTGGCATTGCCTGCTACATGCTCATGGTGTGGGCCAAGCATTTGTTTTCCTTCCCTCACAATGAAGAATGTGGTTAAACTCAGCTTGCTGCTTCGTGGCGAAGTCAGTGGGTCATGCTCCCGCGGTACGGAGGACATGACTCTAACACTTCTCGGATGCTTTATGGCCATAACAGTATACCTTCAGTTTTTGTTTATTTTTTAGCAAGCCGCAAATGTTTCCGCATGACAGTACACAGCTGCTACTGCTAGATACTACATCAAAACAACAATTATACAGTTTTCATAAACCTCAACACAGCACATCAACAGCGTACGTGGCTTCATGTCGGCAGAATGAAACTTACCTCGAGGCATACGTCATAGAAGGTATTATTAAAGGGGACCTGACAAATGCAATTCGCAGTGACTCAGGCGTCCTCGTATTCCGTCGTTTTCTTCTCAACATAAACTCGACTAACGAGCTTTACTCCTTTTCTTACATTCGCCTCTCGGAAGTCCTTCTCCAGCTCAGAGATTTTTGTGGAGCCGCACTGCAGGCGGTACATTGTGAGGTGACTCAAACGCAGTGTGCGCTCTCTGCACGAACACGTAAGCGAGTGGCAGCGCGTTGGCGGGAAGGGAAAACGTGCGATATACATCTCCGATTTCTACTTTTCTACAAGGCATGGCTCTGCCTGTACAAAGTCACAGCCCCATGATGCGTTGCTTTGGCTTCCTATGCTGACATACATAATCACAAGCAAACGCAGGCGCACACGTGCACACACAAATGCATGCACATGCGGCGCACACGTACGCATACATAAACAAGTACACACACACTCACATACACACACACATATATATGCGTCTATAACTACAAGTTAAGGATTGCAGACATTAGATTACAAAGTGAATATTTTAAAATTTAACGAAAGCATGAAACCCAACAAAGCTTTTTCAATGAACAGAGAAAACAGCAATGCACAGTGACTCACTCTGAAGAAGCTAAGTACACATTTATATGTGCTCGTTACAGAACTTAACGGAGAGTGTGGTTATGCAATGTGCATTATAGTCTCCATGCAAAATCATCCAGATATTCAGGTATATATCAGAAAATTTATAGCAATTACTTCGCAAAGAACGGCGTGCTTGGAAAGAATGAAGTTATTTTTCTCGGTGTTTTAAACGCACTGCTTCCCGCACATGGCAATTTTTTTCACCTCGGCGAATATAAAATAAAATTACCCCTTTTTTCGACGTGCTGCTGCACTAGAAGTCATAGCAGCCAGACATTGTCACGAAGAACGAAGCTCGGAATTCAACTCTGAAGCACGTTTGGAGTGGGTAGCCTGGAGGGTTCATGGCGTGCGAGTTGAATGAAAAGAACTTTGCGCGTGCTTAACGAGGCGTCAAGGTCACCTGACTAGCTGGCAGTGTTTGTCTCAGCCATTCAGTGCTGTAGATTCACCGGCTCCGTGAAAGGCGAGGTGAACAAAGAGGAGGTTGATGGCGCTGCCAGAGTGAGATGGCGTAGATCAAGGAGTGTCGCTATTTTCCAAAATATGAAGGCTTTATCTGCGACAGCAAAGCGGCGCCTCTAGCGGGAGCAATGAGAACTAGTGCACACGTCACCGACAATGGACAAGGTGGAAGCATAAGAGGCTTGACAAGCAAGGTCATAAAATATTTGAAAAGTCCCCTGTTCACTCTAGCGTGGCCTGCACCAAGCAATTGCTTTCAACTGAGGAGCCTAGTTGCCATGAAAGAGATACTTTTCATTAATTACCTAAGGAAACAAGTTACAGACACAGTGTCTTTTCTTTCAAGGGAACCTCCAGTTGTTTTTTTTTTCATTCAGTCACAGTATTAGCTTCAGCGATAATATAAAACTTGTTCCAACATCATCACCCCTATTTCACGCGTGCATGGCTTGATCATCTTCTTTCGTTTCACTTTTTGCGTTTTTTTTTTCACCCGTTTTCTTTCACTGGCTTTTTTCGCCGATCACCTTCCCGTTGTTCAGTGCTTGCAGAATTCTCTGCATTTTGTTAACTACCCATTTTTATACCTCGATCTGCGTTCAGCCTGCGAAAAGCCGTGTGACACACTGTCTATAAACTGACCGCTGTGGTGGAACTCATCGTCCGGTCCGTGTCCGGCCAGCGGAACCTCCGGTGCCTGCGGTTCCTCGTCCTCCCAGTGGTCAGAGTGGGGGCCGGTGGCTGACAAGAAGGAGTTGGGCTTCCTGCGGGCTAGCAGCCACGGCGCCACAGCGGGGTGGTCGAGGGAGAGGACGCTTAGAAGAAGGTAGGCGCAGCCGAAGCCGAACGTGATGCCCGTTCCCAGCGGGAGAAGAAAGCCCCGCGGCGCGGGAAGCCATGAACCACCTACGGACACCACCTGTGGCCGGCCGCTCTCCATCCCCTTACTACAAGAGAGACACAATAAGAACCACATCAAAAATAGTACAATATTTTCCCCAGTCACAGTGATGGGGAGGGGGCTAGGATAAGCAATCCCCAAACTCTGTCTATGATGAACAATCCTCGCGCGGTATACGCTGTAGTGTTTGAAACACACACAGATATAGACAAACAGCACGTGTGAAAAAAAAGGAAGGGGTCTCCTCACAAGATATGGTAATCAGTCCTCCCTTGTGGTGCGGTAGAGCCTTGGGCTAATTAGTACCGACCATAATACGACGTACTTTGCAGCGTATAGAGTACGAGAAGATATAACAAGCTAACTGATCTCACTTTTCCATGAGTCGCACTACAAATCTTGTGACTTTCCAGGCGTAATACTTTACAATGGGGCCGAATGTGTTGCTAAGAGGCGGTATTGAATAGTCTTGAGAAGTCACTCGCTTTGTAGTGCGTCACTGCAGTTTTATCAAGTATTCTAGTAGGTCTCCGCTGAATAGATCCGGGAGTCCTTTTTGATAACCAAATTTGTCGGGAGACATAATTTTTTACGCATGCTTCCCATTCATTCACGGCAGAACTTTGTTGCCACCAAGAGATCACGTCATATAGAGATGTCCTCAAAAAGCATGGAGATTCAAGTTCAAGGTACGCTGATTGACTCAGACCAGTATAACCCTCAGGACTGGACCCAAGTCCTCACAGCCTAGGCACACACCTACAGGATACACGAAAAAAGACCCGCGATATGAACGCCGATCCTTCTGTGTGAGAGACCGAGTCAGTCGCAGGAGTCGCTGGTGTACCCCCGAGCTGTCGCGCTCCAGACACCATCACTGCAGCTGCGCGTTCTTCATACAACTGCAAAAAAGATTAAGCAACTACCACCGCTTCTACGCAACGTATATAAAGGGGTATTCCGCTCCCAGAGAGGCCTCGACCTTACGACACAGCAGCCATGCTACCTCCACGCCACTCTCACCCAGGCCGCTGAGCTCACCGACCCATCTATGCTGACCCTTCGGATTCACCCCATCAACAACTCTTGAACAGTGTCTGCAATGAATCAAGAGAATGCACTCAAGCTTGTGCAGCACCGTCAAATAACATACAAACAGCCTGAGTATGCCATAACGACATACATCGCACCCCCGATGGCTCGGTCTGGGGAGTTATTACAAACGCCTACTGGAAAAAATCGTCACAAGAACTACCCGCGGACTTGATCGCCCGCAACCTTCATTGAACCATACTAGACGCTCGACCAATGGGATTCACATGTTCAATTCTTATTACCTTCGGTCAAGCCATACTCCTCCGGAGAATCGCTAATGGTGGAGGACTGTATCTGTGCACGCCCTACACACCAAGGTTCGAGACGTGTAGTAAGTGCCGGACCATAGGCCACCGCACATTTGTATGTATCCAACCTGGGTCCTACAAATGCCCCAGATGTGGCGAGTTACAACCGAAGGAAGCAAACCCCTAATGTACTCCAGTTTGTATTATCCCCGAAGGTCCGCATCTGTCGGGAAGCCAGGAGTGCAAGCACCGGAACCTAAAATCACCAGGCCTACAATAGAGCGTGAAGCTCGAGAGTAGACCTCACACACACCACACGGGTAGACCACACAATACCAGATACCACTCCAAGAGCTCCAAAGCCCAAGAGGACCAGCATACAAGTGACCAACACACCATCTGCCCCGGACCCCCGTGACCAGGAGCTGGGGGCAATGCATGTGCAGGTAAGCCATCTTATGACCCTTATAACCCAAAACCTTGCTCCCTCCTTATCTCCGCAACAATTGCCTCTTCCCACCCACCCACCTAGATCCAGCCAACCACGGAGTTATCAAACAGCTCAGCCACACACTCCTCGCCCCTCATAAAAAGAAGCCCTGTTCAGGCTAAGACGACGATGATTATCAAACTGACCTCAAAAACTTGGAGGCGAAATTCGATGCCAAATTAGTAGCTTTGGAGGCGCGCTTCAAAGACTAATTCTCAATACTAGCCGACGAGCTGTCTAATCCTTTTTTAGAAACAAATTAATGCACTATTCACACACCTAACCCAAACCCTGGAAATTAATTTCGCGCAATTTAAGACCCGCCTGCAGAGGCTCGACATCACTAGCAGCTCATCACGTGAGGGGTCTTTTATCTCCATCATATACACACACCCTCCCCCTACGTCACTTTCCCTACAGCCACAGCAGCCAATCCTTGCACTGCCCACGCTTCAATATGGCCGGTCGCGATCATTTTAACCATTTATCACTGCTCCAGTGGAACTGCCGCGGCTTTTGGTATAAGCACGCGCCGCTCTAGCTTTTAGTATCTAGCCTTTCTACCATACCAAAACTTCTTTTGTTACAAGATACACAACAACAAGCTAAATTTCCCAGTTAAAATGCACTACACTCAGACATCACCAAGGCTTCCCGAGTGTCCATACTCATTCACCGCACCGTTACTTACCAAGAACACACCATCACTTCCCCCCCCCCCATACGTCCCCAACCTAGCAACCTTTCCCCATAACATGGATGACACCTTCTATGGCGCATTATCAATCCCACACACTCAAGGGCAACGTCACAACATCACATTACACGACTACTTCACAACTCGATGCTTTACCCTGACAGTCTTCTGGAGCAACTCCGCAAAACACACGCAGTACCCCACACCTCCTACCCTCTCCCACCCTACACAGGAGCCCTGAATGAGACTCTGGACAAGAAAATTTCAGAGCAAGAGGTTCGTATGGTCCTCCAGAGCGTCCGCACAAACTCTGCACCGGGAAAAGACATGATTACTAACTCTATGTTCTGAAACCTGGACAATCGATCGGTTGCCCAGCTTACAGAATACATTAATAAATGATGGAACGAAGGTACCCTGCCACAGTCCTGGCACCATGCTAAGATTATCCTTGTCCCTAAACCTAACAGACCCTTTATCATGTCAGACCTTCGGCCTATTTAACTGACATCATGTCTGGGGAAGCTTCTCGAACAGATTGCATCAAACAGACTAGCTCAACACATGCATGACCACAATCCACATCCGCAAACTATGGTGGGCTTCCGTTCATGTCTCTCCGCCCAAGGTGTCATGCTTCAACTGAAGCATGACATCCTTGATCCTACAATCCCCACTCATACTAAAGCCGTCTTGGCCCTAACCTTATTCAAGGCTTTGATCGCGTAGAACACCAAGCGATCATGGCGGCTCTCTCCCCCCTCAATTTGGGAGTTTGCATGTAAGGCTGCATACAATCCTTCCTCTCGGGACGCACGGCCAAGGTGCCCATGCGTCCCCTTCATACAACCTAAGCGGAGTTGGCACTCCGCAAGGTTCAGCCCTTTACCCTTTTCTCTTCAATGTCACACTCATTCCCTTAGCCCGTGCTCTTTACAATATCCCTCACCTTCACCACACCCACTACACTGACGACATCACTCTGTCCACTACCCACGGTAGTGATGGAGACTTAGAAGAAATATTACAAACTGCTACCAACATCACACAGCAACACGCACAATGCATTGGTCTCTCCTGCGCCCAGAAAAAATCTGAGCATCTTCTCATACGCCCTTCACCATGTACTCTTTCCACTACCACTATCACTATTACTCTAACCGGCCATGCTATCCCAAAGGTCAACGCACTCCCGATCTTTGGCCTCCACATAAAAAACAACGGCTGTAACACTTTCATCGTCCGGAAACTGAAGCGGGTAACGGAGGCGCCCTCGCACCTTGTCCGCCGAGTTTCCGGAAAACAATATGAAATGAAAGAACACGATTTGTGTCGACTCATTTGTGCCTTCATACTGAGCCGCTTCCTTTATACAGTCCCATATCTCCGACTTCGACAAGAAGAAATAGCCACCTGGATGCCATGCTTCGAAAGACACACAAGGTGGCTTTACATCTCCCTCCTAACACCTAAACCACTAAACTTCTTCAACTTGGGCTTCATAACACTACACACGAACTGATAGAGGCCCACAGACAAGCCCAATACACTCGTCTAGCTGAGACTTTAACTAGACGCCACATATTTGACACCCTTAACATTCACATACCAGCAGCCGGACCCTCATTCCTAGCAGTCCCTCCACACATATACACACAGCTCACCATAAAGCCTCTCCCTAAAAACACCCACGTTGCATACTGTTTGGCCCGCCACAAGGCCCGTGCAAAACCTCTCCAAAAGTACTACGGTTCTGAGGGGGATGCCCTATCAGTGGATGCAGCTTGCACGGACGATGACGCGGCAGTTCCAGCCATTTATCGCACACTCAAGCCCATCCCAACTCTCCGCCCAACTCCTGCACCCAACCCGCAATCCTCGGGAGAAGCGGAGATCGGACTTGCCCTCACTTGCATTGATGCCCGGTACGTCTTTTTTTACTCTAAAACCGCAATTCTAAATTTTGGGCGAAACTGAGTCCATGAGACCGCTTTCGGCATACTCAGCTCCCCTCCCACACACACATCTGGCCCGCCATGTGGAGCTTATCTGGGTGCCAACTCACTCTGGAAATCCCAGCAACGAAGCCGCCAATTACCACGCCTGAGGTCTCATCAACCGGGCGGCGGCAGACTCGGAGTCGGGCTCTTTCAGGGAGCGCATGCATTCCCCGAGCAAGATTACTGAAACATACCGCGTGGAACGCCAGCTATGCCCTCCACCCCACCGATCCCTGAACAATTTTCATCAGATATTATTTTTTTTATTTGATACCCACAGCACCATAAGGCATTACAGTGGGGGGAATACAACATGATTACATGACAGAACACAAGCTCAATTTGCGGCAAGTACAGTACAGCCTAACCTGATAGTAGGAAGTACACTGAATACATAACGTAACGGAGTTTGACAAAAATGTACGAAAAATGCCAGCGGGTAACATACAGTAAGACGAAAACAAATACAATATGTATACCACACAACAAAACACCCATCATCAACTGAACAATTCA